TCTCTTAGATACTCAAGATTTTGCATGAGCATACAGAGAGACCATGTCTAAAATTAGGTGAAATTATGTTTTATTTAACTGAATTATTTACTATAGGCATAGTTCCACTATTTTCTGTTCTACACTGCCCATTTCTTGTGCTTCAAGCCTAAGCTGGTGGAGCCCATTGTAACAATAAGAAAACTATTCCTTTTTTTGCTGGTTTTATCACTTGATTCCTGTGTTTTCCTGGCTTTTATCCACTAGTTTATTTGTTGAGACTGCACATGGATCTATTGTAAGTGGTAGGTTTGTGACAAGTTTCTTAACTTGTAAGAAACTAGATTAACACTGTAACTAGGTAATAACCGGTTTAATGGTTTTAAGAATTTTAAAGAACATAGATAAGATCTGGTAAATTGAAGGTAGAATCCTCTGTCCAATTATAAATCTCTTTGAATAGAGTCCAGTTCCTCCAAATATACAGTTGTTCAAAATACTTACAAGTACAAAGAGTAAGAAATAAGAGCAGAAACTCCATACTTTGTTGCATTTTTAAAGTTTCTTTGATAAAAATTCTGTTATACACAGTAATTTCAGAATGTTTTTGCTTTTGAAGCAGATTCCATTTTCATATGAACACATAGAAGTTGCTACATATGAAGAAACATGCATGGCTAATTCCATCACAATTAATAATTCCTATTGTATTTGTGGGATAGGATGGAATCACTCCTGTTCTCAGTAACCTCTCTTTACATAAGTTTGGGAAGTTCTTTCCAATTTGTTTTTGTTTTAATTTCTATGACAGTTTCTAGTGCTTTCAAGGTCAGGTGACAAGAGGGTCTTTCATGCTGGAAATCATGATTAGTGGAGGCAAAAGGAGCATGTTCTCAACAGGATCTCTGAAGTTCTTAGGTGGTTTTTTAGACTTCCTTTTACCAGAAGTGAAAATGATGTTCCATAAGGTACTTCCTTTTGGTGCAAGTTCCATTTAGATATTTCATGATGTAAATCTAGATTCATGAAAGGATCCTACATATTTCTACTATGTAGTTGCAGTTATTTGGTCTAGTCTATGCAACCTTTTACTCTCTTCCTGTTATTCTATTTGGTTTTATTTACTTACTCTCATAGGTCTTGAGATGTGATGTGTTTTTTCCTTAAAATTTAATCCCAGCTGTTCTTTTATCTTCTTTGTGAGTGGTCTCTCAAAGGCTCTAAACAGCTAAGAATATATGCCTTCAAAAGTAGATTTGCCTGTCCTCCTGTTCAAAGGTAAGAGGCTTCACATGACACTCACCATACCCCATTTATAAAAATATATCCACAAAACAGGCCCATTCAGCTATTGCTGCATTCTCTTTCTTACTTGATTGGACATTTCTCTAAGCACCTGAATTTATAAAAAACAAGCAATGGATTTATATACTGTAATGCCTAGAATAGTATATTTAAATGCTTTTCCCAAAAACCTGTCTCATCAATGGTTAAAAAGAGGAAGTGTGCAGTTCCCCAGCATTCCTTAAATCCTTATTCAAAGTATTGCTTTGCTAAAATTGTTGTTTACTATAAAATCAGTGAACTCATGTTTCTGGTGAAGCACAGATATTTAAATATAGAAGGACTGGTACATGGTTTATATAGATACTCTACAGTTTGATTCTCTTCCTGAAGAAGCTTTCAATATTAATATCCTTAGAATTTACATAAACACATACAGGAGTTCTGACTCTAATCCCTACATGTGTAATCTTGATTTTACTTTCTGTTATTTCAAATGTGTATGCAAAAGTAATGTTGTTCATTTTATTTGTACTCTGATGTAACTCTGAAAAGCAATGCTGGAATTCAGTTTCTGATGCATTTGTAACTTGAAATTATGTATGTTACCAAATCTTATGAAGATTAGAACATGTAATTCATTGCCAGTTGCTCACTGCTTTTCTTCTTCTTTAAACTCTTTTTTTACATATTCGGTTACACACATGAAATATATTTTTCAGAGTTTGTGATTCTTGCAACATGCTGTTTTCCATGCCTTCCTCATATTTACATCAAAAGTTTTCCCTGACTTGGGTGTGTCAGCCATTTATGACTAGGTTGGGGAATTTTTTTCACTTAGTTGAAAACGCAAGCAACCTGTTTCCCTGGAAAACATATTTAGTGAAATTACAGTCTTGTTTGCCATATGGTGCATCATACAGATGGATGATTATTATGCAAATCTTTTGATTAGTGAGTTTCTGCCATTCTAGGAATCATTTGCTTTATGTGTGTTGGCTTTGTACACAATTAGTTCCATTCTTAGGATGATCTGGGACTGTGCCAAATCTTTGATAGTTTTATACAACTTTATACTTTTTTCTTGTATTTATGGTTTGTTCTATTTCTTTGTTCATCAGGCAAAAGAAGTAACTTTTACTTCAATTTACCATATGAGAGATAGAATGCAAGAAACATCATGCCATGCTGAATGAAATCGGTAGCAAAATTTGCATCTTTTCATTATAGACTCTGCCTCCATGGTTATAGGCATGTGAGACTGATGAGGGGAGTAGTCAAATAAAATACTTCATTTTGTTTGCAATGAAACAACCAGAATCTAATCTGATAATTCCTACTTTTCTCCAATAAGCAAATTTTCTAGTTGAGCTCTGTACAGTTTGATTTACAGTGCTAAGAGTCTGGGGGTTTTCATTTCTATATGGTTCACAAAGATTCTGGATAGGAATTGTATCTTCAGTTCTTCACCTATGACCATGGAATTGTATGTGAAAAGAAAATTTTACTTTTTTTAACTAGGCCTGCAGCTAACCCCATTGTCAAATTTCTTAGTTACAAGGGGCTAAAGTCTGTGAGGGATGGAACGCATCCAGTATGTGTTCAAGTAAGTCCCTTACAAACTTAATCTATTCTGTTTTGCAATTTGTTATAGCTCATGGAAAAAAATTAGATTTTTTTTCCACTGTCTCAAGCAGGTATAATATTAAGAAAAATTTAAAAATATTCCTAAATTATATGGATGATGTGCATGGACAGGAGTATCCAATTTCTTATTTCTCATGAGAGGTAAAAATTAGCCTTTAGTACAGCTGAGACCCACGGAGGTATGAGTGGTCATCTGGGCTCTCCCACAGAATGGTAAACTGTTCATCACAGGATGTGTTCCAGGAGTGGATTTTTGTAAATTAGGCTAGCCCTTTATTTTTGTCACAAAACTTTGTTACAAGTGAGTCTCCTAAACTGAAATTTAGGTTTTTAAATGCTTTATTACTTGCAATATATTGATGTTGTGGAAATAAACAGTATAAAATGATACTGTTTTGACTTAACAATATAAAATGCAAAGTGATATTCCTTAACTATATAATTCAAGGTTATAGTGAAGGAGATAGTTTCCAAGAGTAAAACAGTATTTTATGATCAAAGCTATTTCCTTTCATCCATTTATCTAAATCAGCTCATTAAAACATTTAATGAATATATAGATACCTATCCCATGGAAAGCAGCTCTTATTTCTTCAAGGCTTGCTGAAAATAAAGCAGTTTTATGTAAGATAAAAACCAAAATTGAATAGCTGTAAAGCCAAACTGTGTAATTTACTTCATCAGAGGAATTACTGTTTGGAAATTTCGGGGCCTAGATGGTTAGAGCAAGCCATTTTAGTTTTAATCTCATTTATCTATTAATAATACGTCTTTAACCAGTTGAATTTTAAATTTTTTAAGCCACTGCAAGGTAAAAGAATAATTCCACTGTTGTCAGACAGGGAATCATTTGAAACACTATATTTCTGCCTTTTGAAAAAATAGGCATAGGCCATTATACTTATGTGAAATGATACTCTTAATTCAGTTATGAAAATATGTTTAAATGCCTGGTAATATAAATAATGGAATTGTTCCAGAAGTGGGTCCTATTTTGGGAAACAATAGAACCTTCTTTGGACCTTTTTTTTCAATCTTATTTTGTGCATCGGGAATTTTGTCACTTAAATCTGAATATTTATTATTTTCTCCCTCTCTTGAATTTTTTACTGCCTCAAAATGAGATATTTGCTTTAATAAGGACCTCCTAAATATCCTATCCAAACACTAAGCATATAGAGCAACAGCTGATAAATAAATTAATAAACCAAATCTCTTGCTAAAAAATTCAATATCAAATCACTTAGAATTCAGAGAATTTCTTCCATAGGGAAGTACACAGGCTGGATGACTTTCTCAGCTGATTAGTGTCTCAGTATGTTCTCTGAAGTTTTTAGATCATGATTCCTTATCCTTCCTGGTTGCAAATCTCAGTTCTGCTGTCAGTTTCTCTTGAATCCTCTTGACAGTTCTATCAGTGAGTGTTGTGACCCTCAGTTCTGGTGTGGCACGTGTCCTACGCTCACACATTATAGCACTGCTCTGGAGTTCCTGACAGAGCTTACCTAGAATACCATGTAGTGATGCTCGGTGTGTAGTCAGGATTGCAAGGAATTCCTTTAGTAACTGAGAATCTTCCCAGCATTAAGATCCTCATAATAATAATTCTTCATTAGGGAGAATTCAAAAGGGAGGGAGGGAGGGAATTTTCTTAAACAGCATTGAAGATTTAAGCATCTGGAAAGATGAATACGAATTTAGAGAAAGGAAAAAATTCAAGAATGTTAATGATAATGGGAATTGGGCTGGAAATGCCACTTTACAAAGGGAAGAGAACCAGGTAGCATATTTCTTCAAACTATGATGAAATTTTAAACTGATTTGTTTTTTTATTGGTTTGCATTTTGGACTATTCATACATGAGATAGATTGTTTTTCTTTCTCTGAAATAATTCATACAACAAATTATTATTTAAACAATGTTATCTGCATGGAAGTACTTAGTAAGTACTGGAAGTATTGGAAAGTATGGTGAACTTAGGACAGGTGAACAATCTACTTATCAGTAAGGTCACAGTAAAGGAAATACAGTATTTTTTTTATATATCTTAGTGTGTATATGAATTTAGTTTCATTGTTCTCTTTCATAGTTATCAGGTTAAATGTGTACTGTGATGCCACTATCACTGAAGTTTCAACAGGCAGAACTTTTCCTTTTATACAAACAAATTTATTGCTTCATTGGTTTGCATAATAAAAGTGTGAGGATCTACAAATTAAAAGCATGACTCACCTCTATAAAAAAATGGCTGGATGGAATGAAGGTAAATACCATTTACTACAAATGTATAATGTTTATCTTGCATAATTACCCATCTGAATTCATAGACAGCTATACACTTTTCAGCACTTCAATGTTTTGTTTTATTAGACTGATGATCTTTGAAAGTGTGATTTCTAAAACAGTAAACCACTAAACACACTATGTTCTGCATAAATGGATAAAGCTGGTCAGATGCAATGAACAAAATTACTTTTAAGGTAAGTAAACATTTTTCCTTTAAATATTCCACTCCTATTGTCACATACTAATAAAATAAAAATTCAAATGTAATTTCTTCATAGAAATTGAGAACTAGTATCTTTATTAGCTCTAGTGAGAGTTGAATAAGTCAAATATAGTTGATCTTTTAACATTTAGACCATTATTTCTCATTGTTTTTCACTATAGCTAAGCATTTTATGTGCCATAGCTGTGTAGATGTGACACTTAAAAGAAGTTTCAGTGGTGGCCTCCAAATGTGATAAAATCTAGCATTTGCTACTTTTGTTTTTAAAATTTATTTTTTAAAACTCCCTTTTATCTTACTTCTACTTAAATTTTTAACTTAAATTTAATATTTTGTGTGTGTGTGTATATAAAACTGAATTTATTTAAATAAAAGAAACAAGATTTGGAGAACTTCTATGCCTGAAATCTGGCCTGATTTATCCAGCTGTCTGCTGAAAGATATTATCTTTTCCCACAAAGTTTACAGGTTTTGGACTATTTAATTTGGGACAATATTGCACTGATTTTATCATAACTGATATTGGGAAATGAAGAAGTTCTTTGTCTTACAGCAACTGGATGTTCGAGTTCCAAATTAAAAAACTATCTACTTATTTGGGAATTCTTCTACAAACAGGAAACTCCCTTCGTGTCTAAACATGTCTAACTTTCCAGGGAGAATTAGGCAGCCTAGCCATTCTATATTTACATAGACTGCCTTTCAAGCAGGCGATCAACAATGAAGTAAAAAATCAGAGTGCACAAAAGCTGCATTAATTTTCTATAAATATCTTCCCTTTAGTCATTAAAAATTATGAACGGTTTCTTCTGTGATGGCAAGAAACCTGCCTATGGAATTCAGAAACTTAGTTTTCTTGCATTTCTAATGCTAAGATTAGGCTAATTCAGGATATTGAGTTATGAATTACCTTAGTGTTGAGTGTCATAAATTTCTTAGGAACTTTTATGTCCTCAGGCTATGATCTGAGTACCTTCTAGCCCCTACCAATGTGGATAATGAGGGGAGTGAGGGGTTGCATTCTCTCTGTGCTGTAAACAAGAAGGTTGAAACAAAAAATAGATGAAATGGCTTGGCCAGTGTCACACATGGAACAAATAGAAGCACAGGTAACTGAACACAGACCTCCAGTTCTAGACTAGACCATCTGTTTGCCAGCCATATTTCTTCTTTATGATTCTGTCTATGATCAGTTATTAAATTCATATATCATTTTTTTAAATGGAGTGAAACATTTCACTGTTCATGCAGTGCCTTTCCAATTGTACGATTTCCTTTGAGAAACAGAAATTTAACTTATTTTCAGAGCAACTACAAACCTTCATGGGAAAGAATACAGTGTTTATATCTAAATAGTAAAATAGACATTAATTACCACTCCTTTCATTTGATTTTCTCTTTTGCTTATAGGGCTTTTGACAATTTTTTGCACTATTTCAGCATAAAATAAATAGTTGTGTCTGATCAAAGAGGCTTTTTGTCATTGAGAAAACCAAATTCTAATAAAGAAATATAAATATAAATAAATTTACATATAAACTAATCATGCAGTATAGTAGAAGATTTAAAATTTTTTCTAGAACTTTGATCATTTGTATATGTCCCACCCCTAAGGCAATGGGAACACCTAAGATTTGTAGATGCTCATGATTGAAAGGAAGGACAAAAGTCAGTGCCCACAAAAACTCACAAAGTTTTTTAGTAAATAAAACACTTAGCATGGAATTTTAGTTCCTGACCTCATGTGGTAGCACATGGCAGTGGGTTTTGGATAATGGAGTAAGGAAAAAAAGAGAGGGATGGGGGGAGAGAGAGAGAGGGAGAGAGAGAAGAATAAAAGAGGAAGAGAGAGAAAGGGAGAAAAAAGAGTGGAAGAAGAAAGGAAGGAAATCACCAGTCCTGGCTCCAATGTTAATCCAGCTGATGGGATGTCCAGGGTTCTGGGGGTCATCACCCAGGCTTGGTGGAGATGCTTTTTTAAAAACAGGTTTTCCCTGCCCTGGAGAGAGGCTTCTTGTTTTCTATGCAAACTAGTTATCATGTGCAGTCTGCTCTTTTAGACCTATCTGGAAATGGGTCTGAGGGCTTCAGGGCTCTTGTGTGGTCTCGATCCCCACCACAGTCTGTGCCCATTTCTCAGTCTCATTCCTGTGCTTGCACTGAACCGTGTTGTGCTTATCTCCAGGAATAAGAACAAGGTCTTTTGTCCTGGAGAAATGCTGCCATACCTCCACATGGCCCCTTCTCCAGCCACATCTTGTTCTTTCCCACAACAATCCTTGATTATTATCAATGATCCTTGGTTGTTATTACCAAGAGTCCATGGCTGGCTTCACAGACTATGGCTATCAGCATTTGGGACATGCACATCAGCCTCTAATCTTCTGGGTTTCTACACCTTTGCAGATTGTCTGCCTCCTTTTTCACATGATCTTTTTATATCCACACTGTTAATTAAGGGGATCTCATTACTTTTCCTTGGGACTTTTGGGCATGGGGAAGCCAGTGTACCTAACTGTTTTTATGTATTTAATTTATGTCAGTTTTTACCTGGCCTTGGCAGATGTAGAAGGAGAAGAAGCACACTTGCTTACATTTAAGGGACTTTAAGATGGAAAAAATATGTTTCTTTCCACAAAGATGCTAGAGATCCTCTGTGTAAAATTTTACTTTTTGATCCATACAAGCTTCCATGTTGATAAGAGCTTTGGGCACCCTCAGGATTAGGACTATGTCTATGTCTGGAAAATAGAAGAATACACACATGAGACTTGAATAGTAGGATGGCATCTTATTAAATCCTGCAGTTTTAATATAAATTTATTAACTAAAAGGGGGAGAATAACAAAGTTACTGCCCAATAAAGCATGTCAGATAATATATGCTGGTTGAGACTGTGTGAGTCTATCAAGATATCTAACAGAAACTTCAGTGCAAAGGAAATTGTTAGCCCAATGTGAGATGAACACCATTACCCACAGAATTTGGGTTTATATATAGCCAAGGAAAAGGTTTGAAATAGTCATGTGCTTTCTCTATTCTGAATTAATTCAGCAGCTCTCAAGGAAATTACTTCCATGCCATCATAGATGTGTCATTTAATACTTCTGATTGTATTCAACAATATCAGAAACATATGGAGATGTTGGGAAGTAAAATGAGCAAGAAAAACCAGTGTTGGAATATTTGTAGTACAGTGTTGTAAATTGTTGTTATTTTTTCTTTTGATTGTTCCATGAAATTGATGGTCCCATCCCTCATCTTCTTAAAAGAATTATTTACAAGGAATGATTCAGCCACCTGTTTTAGATGCCCGTCACAGAATGGGATCATTCCCTCTTAGAAGTTCCCCTCCCTCTCTTCAGTGGCTAGATAAAACCGAGATAACTGGTTTCCACTAGACAGAGCTTTTTGATGACAAGTCAGGCCACACAAATTCTACCTCTTGACTTGGAAGGGCTTTGTTCTTAATGGGATGGTTACAGAAATAGGCAAAAATTGTTGTAGATAAGGGTAAACTTGCATGTGAGAAGAACTTGGAAAGATTTGGATCAGTCATCTTAAATAAGAGATGAATAAGAACAGGCATGGTTAAATGAAACAAAATAGAGGATGTTAAAAAAGTCAAGGAACTCCAAAGTAGTACTTACCTTCTGTTGAAATAAAACTACAAACAACTTGTGAAAAAAAATGCAATGAGGCTTGCACAAACACAAAAATGTTATATAAATTCTAAATTCAACAATTGTTAGAAAGGGCTCAGGTCTTTTACTCCTATGAGTACAAGAAGCGATATTAAGTAGATTTTTACTTAGGTGATGAAGTAGGAACACTTAGGGTATAAGGGAGCCACGTAACAATGAGCTCTGGGAAGAAGAGTCCTCTCTAAATGCCTGTGTTCGTTCTTAAAACTATAGACACGAGCTGGTATGTTTTCTTGAAGTATCTGCCACTAATAACTGTCAAAGGCTGGGTACAAGCTAAAACAGTGATTTGATCTAGTGTGGCAATTTTTGTATTTACCTTCTTTTGTTTCAAATGTGAATACATAGGGTTAAAGGGAAAAACTAGTTCATTTCAGATTTCATGCAAATGGATTAGGTTTTGCATTAAATCCTCTTATTGTGTTAGAGGATGCAGTTGTACCAGAACATCTATCCATAAAATGTGAAGTGGCTTTCTATAGACTGTGGTAGGAATGCACGAACTTTGCAAAACTCTGAAGTGCCAGTGAAAACTTATACTGAGTCTAATCAGATTCTGGTTTTTAAAACGTCATCCTGTTATTTTTACTCTTTCCCACTGCTTTTCTTATCTATTACAGCCATAATTATTAAAAGCCAAACACATAACAAATTACAAAATCTCATATGAATGCCAGTGTTTTAAAAAAGAGGTCTTGTTGACATTTTACTTTTTCTACTAGTTCATGCATAGTTTAAGAAATTGGTTATGTAAATCTGAAGGTAGAAGATGCAGTGTGATAGGTCTACCAAATTAAGTATTAATAGAAATCTATTATAACTATGTCTCTGTGCTTCAGTCAAGAGGTAAGTACTAATTCCAGCTGCTGTTAACACACAGTAGTATTAAGAACCTGAGCTCTATGATATTTATTGTTTCCTTAATGTAGCACAGCAACTGATCTTAGTTCTTTTTTTATTCCATTTGGTTTATTTTGTTCTTTAAGGAAACTGTGTTATGGTTTGAAAAGGATACCATCTATTGAATGTTGTCCTGCCTAGATCACATACATTATTATAAAAAAAAGAAGTTGTATTAGTTATAAATGTTTGGTAACCTGTATACAAAGCAGATCTTAGAGGTCAAGTTTAATCAAATGTTGCTGTGCTGGTTGCTTTAGTGGCATTTTTTACGAGTTTTCTTCTTCAAACTGAATTTTTAGACTGTGGGCAAATCTGATTAAATTTCAGTGTTAATTCTGTGTTTATTCAACCACTGAGGAGCAAC